CAGCTCTGTTGGCATTTACCCAGCATTCCTCACTGCACAGCTCTGTTGGCATTTACCCAGCATTCCTCACTGCACAGCTCCGTCACTTGATACCAGCACCAGTCATACAGCATGGAAACAGGCCCAACTCGCCCACACCAAACAGATTTCCCAAACTAAACTAGTCCCACTTTCCCGAATTTAGCCCATTTTCCTCTAATCTCTTCCTATCCATGCCCCTGTCCAAATGTCTTTTAGATGTCGTAACTGTACCTGCATCTACCCCTTTCCCTCTGGCAGTTTATTCCATACACGCACCACCCTGTGTGCGAAGAAGTTGCCCCTCAGGTCCGTTTTAAATCTTTCCCCTCTCACCTAAAAAAATATGGCCCTTAGTTTTGGACTCCCCTACCCTGGGGAAAAGACCTTTGCTATTCACCTTATCCATGCCCCTCATGATTTTATAAACCTCTATAAAGGTCACCCCTCAGCCTCCTATGTTCCAGTGGAAAAAAGTCCCAGCCTCCCCTTATAACTCAAACCCTCCAGTTCCAGCGACATCCTTGGAAATCTTTTCTGAACCCTCTCCAATTTAATAGTATCCTTAATAATAACAACAGGGCCTCCTGAACAGGACACAATACTCCAGAAGAGGTCTCACCAATAGCCTGTACATCCACAACGTGATGCTCCAACTCCTATACTCAAAAGGTCTGAGCAATGAAGGCAAGCGTGCTAAACACTTTCTTAATCAGGAACAAAAACAAAGTTGCTGGAGAAGCTCAGCAGGTCTGGCAGCATCTCTGAAGGAGAAAACAGAGTTAATGTTTCGGGTCCGGTGACCCTTCCTCAGAACTTCCTAATCACCCTGTCTACACGCGACGCAAGAACTTTTTCAAAGAACTATGTAGCTAAACCCCTATGTCACCCTGTTCAAGCCAGGGCTCGCTGCTACCGTACAGAGATATTGGAAAGAAAAACACTCTCAAGATCTACACGGTGACCACGAAACTCACAGAACCCTGTCCTGGACGGACAGCTGAAAGGACGAGACTAGGAACCGGACGAAGGTAAAAGAAAACACTACAAAGACCCAAAAATCAGAAACGAAAGCAGAAATTGCTGGAAGAATTCAGACAGTGTTGAGGCAGCACGTACACAGAGAGAGAGATCAGAGGTAAGGTTTCGGGTCCAGTAACCCTTCTTCAGAAACGTTAACTCGGCTTTCTCTCTACTGGAAAACATGACGTTGGCTGGGGAAGGGTCTGCAAGCGTCGGTGGGTCAGGTCAGGCACAACTCGATAGGGATTGGGGGGTGGGGGGGACCGTTTGCGACAACCACAGTCGAAATGGGCAATTCCGATCTCAGGGCGTCAAAGGTTAAATCGCACAGATGCGCTTCACTGAGGACTGAGCAGCGGGACGTCGCTCACGGTGCGTTATCACAACCGTGCAGATAGACCATCAGTGCTCCCACTCACCGCCAACGGGCCCTCAGAACGGCCTACCTGTTCTTTTCCATCTCGTTGTGGGTCGATCTGAAAAACAACGTTCAGAAGGAGATTACAAAGCGCAGGCTTACAGAGGCCGGTCGTCAAGCAGTCTACACAAAGCCGACAATCCCTTACCTGGCTGCGCCACGTCGAGACAGGACCCTGGAGGTGTAGGCTACAAAAAATAACAGTGACGGACTTTGCAGTGGGATTGGATTCTTAGAATGGGCTCTGAAGTACCTGGAGTTGGGGAGGGACTGTATCCGTATTCAGGATACAAAGCAAGGCTTTGAGGTCAAGTGCAAAGTTGTAGTGTGGATCAGAGATTATTCACCAAGTTCAAGAACGAGTGGGATGAGGGTGCTGTTGTAGCACAGCAGTAGTGTCCCTACCTCTGACCCAGGTTCCAACAAAATATCTGAAATATTTTTGAGGGTTTTTTTTTTGCCTTTAAAGTGATGACACTGTCTTCTGTGAGACACAGAGAGAACGGGCTTAAAAAAAAATCTGTGCTTTACTGCACAGCCGCCTGCAACTGTGAAGCGAACAGCTCCTCAAAACAGCTGTTGCATTTATATAGCCACCTCGCCGGCCTGCACAGTGCACCAGCGATAAAGCCCATTCAGAGACAAGTATCAACGAGCGACTGTGGTCTTTAAAACAAAAAAAGCAGCCGGTTAACGGGGATCCCATCGTACATCGAAAGCAGCCATTAACTGCAGACTGGAATAGTTTAGTTCTAGTCTAGTTCTGGCCTCCTTACATAGAGTCGTACAGCAGAGAAACAGGCCCTTTGGCCCAACTTGTCCATGCTGACCAAGTTTCCCAATCTGGCCTAGTCCCATTTGCCAGCATTTGGCCCCTATCCCTCTAAATCCTTCCTATTCATGTACCATCCAGATGCCTTTTAAATGTTGTCATTGTACCAGCCTCCACCACTTCCTCTGGCAGCTCGTTCCATACACGCACCACCCTCTGCGTGAAAAAGTTGCCCCTTAGGTCCCTTTTAAATCTTTCTCCTCTCAACTTAAACCTATGCCCCTCTAGTTTTGGACTCCCTTAGCCTGGGGAAAAGACCTTGACTATTCACCCTATCCATGCCCCTCATGACTTTATAAACCTCTATAAGGTCACCCTTCAGCCTCCGTCGCTCCAGGGTTGAAAAACTTCCCAGCTTCTCCTCATAAATCAAACCATCTAGTCCTGGCAACATCCTGGTAATTTTTTTCCTGCACTTAGGAATGAGTGGAAGAATATCAGAGACTATCACCCTGGTCTTAGACTCTCCACCACAAGGGGAAACAGCCTCTCTACATCTAGTCTGTCCAGCCCTGTTAGAATTTCATACGTTTTAATCAGATCCCGTCTTCGCACCGACCATCTCGTTCTTCTAAACCCCAGTGAATACACGCCATAGTCGAACCTATTTCTCCTCCATTCCCAGTATCAGCCTAGTGAACCTCAACACTCCCTCTACATCAGGCAGGGAGATCAAATTCGCACGTGAAACTTATCTAAATTGGTTAGGTGAGATGTTGTTAGACATCAGAATCGAAAGTGAAAGAGATTTAAATGCAAAACTTATCAGTTTGCCAGTGATATCAAAGGTGCAAGGGGAGAAGTGACAGTGATTCGGAACACGCACGAGCAACTCGGGTTCAAAGTCCTGGAGTCTATAGGACCGGCCCTCTTCCACCACCACCCAACAACTGTCCCCCCGCGCCCCCTCCACTGGGGCTTACCTGCTCCCTGCACTCTTCCTGCCCCGCTTCCTCCATTTGCTGTTTGCCCGCTCGCTGCGACGGGGGGGTATGGAAGCGTATCCATGCTCGGCTTCTGGATGAAGAGGCCATTGGTTAGACCTGTCCCCTTCCATGTGACCTCCAGCCCATGCCAATTACAGACCCCGTGCCAATTACAGACCCCGCGCCAATTACAGACCCCGCAGTTGCTCAGCCCATGCCTGGGATGATTTAGCCCCCTGAACAAAGCTAGGATGGTTTTATCCTGACACCCCCATCACTGCTCACTTGGGGGCATTTTACACCCAGAATCCTTGCCCCTTCTCCATGCCCCCTTCATCCCTCACCCCTGGGAAATACACAACTCACACCCCACCCCCATATATTTATCACACTCACTCCTCCCATTGCCTGTATTTACCCCTCTAACACCCCCCAGATATTTACCCCTTCTCTCTCCTGGGATATTTACCCCACTCTCTCCCCTCCCGACTTGGGTTTATTTATCCCCTCTCTTACCCCCACCTCCCCTCACTGGCTATATTAACTCCCTCTCTCCTTCCTGGGTATATTTACCAACCCCTCCTCCCCGGATATATTTACCCCCTCTCACCCGGGTATTTATCCCTTCGCTCCGTACCCCTGGGTATATTTACCCCATCTCTCTGCTCCCCCCGTGCATATTTACTCCCTCCCTGGCTATATTTACCCCCTGTCTCCCTTCCTGGGTATATTTACTCCCCTCTCCAGCTACATTTACCCCCTCTCTCCCTTCCTGGGTATATTTACCCCCTCTCTCCCAGGTATATTTACCTCCTCTCCCCTGGCTATTTTTCCCCCCCCCCCCCCCCCTGGTATATTTCCCCCCTCTCCCTGGCTATATTTACCCCCTCTCCCCCGGCTATATTTACCCCCTATCTGCTCCCCGGGTATACTTACCCCTCTCCCGGCGTTCTAGGTACTGGGCGGCCTGAAGGAGTAAGTCGATGGGCTGGACCCCGGTCATGTCGGTCGGTCGGGCAGACGGAGGCCGGATCGCTGTCCTTCCCCGGGATCCGCTCTCTCAGTGCTCGCCTTAGCCACTGCCGCGGTGTCCGGCCAGTCGGCCCATTCCTATCCCTCAAACTGGGCCCGCCCCCTGCCGCTCTCATTGGGCACTCTCCCACCTGCTCTGCCCCTTTACCATTGCTATTGGTGCATTCAGCACTCCATCAATCTCTCCCCGCCTCCGACGCTGGGCAGGGACAGCCCTCAGACCCTCATTGGACGAACATCCCCACGCCCCGCCTTTTCTCAGTTCCCATTGGATACTCTACCTGCCGATCTTCTGTAACACCCCCCGCCTCCATGTGACCCCACCCCGTCATCCCATTGAACAGTCCACCAGCTCCAGCCCGCCTTTTTCTGTTTCTATTGGTGCGAATACACGTCCATCATCTGCGCCCGCCCCCCGGCGTGGCAACAACCGCCCTTTAATTTCGATTGGTTATCTGTCTATTAAGACCCGCCTCCTGACCAAAACGATTGTCGTGCTCAGATGCCCATCACCCACACATTACCCAATCACCGCCTCGTGTCCCGTTGTGTTTCCGCCTTCGGCACTTCCATTGGTTCAAATGCAGGAAAGCCCCGCCTCTCTTCCTTCCGAATGGTCCACCTTGTCTGCCCATCATCGTACACGTCACGTGGCCCTGTTTGAAAACAGACCGTCCGCCCCGCCTCCCATTGGATGTCCCAGGCCACGCCCTCTCCGCAGGCGTCAATTCGGCACGTTCTCAAAACTGAACCGTCCTATGACATCACGAGAAAATAATCCTATTGGTCAAAATCCTATGAAGTAATGCCGTTCTCGGCCAATCACGGTCCTCCCTTCCCCAACAGGGACAGGCGCTCTTGGAGATAGACTTTGCTCTTCCCGGCGGAGACCACTCAGTCCGTTAGTTCTTCCCTACTGGCCCTATCCCAAACTACCTGCTCTCTGCTTCTAACCCTGCAAAATGACTTCTTCAAGAAGGAAGCCAGTCCAACAGCTTATTCTTGGACCTTCTTCTATTACCTTTTTGAGGAGAATGCACCTGCAGGAGGCCATTCAGCCCCTCAAGTCTAAGATAACACATGTGGAGCTGGAGTAACACAGGAGGCCAGGAAGCATTAGAGGAGCAGCAAAGTTGACGATTTGGGCTGGAACCCTTCTTCAGACCCTTTTTTTACGGTTTAGAGGTGGGCTGCGTAGATCTGACCTTCCTTTGGATAGTACGACTATGAAAATAAAACCTAGCAATATCGTTTTCTCAACATAATAAGCTGCATGCTGATGGGTAACTGATTTTTGCCCAAGGGGTTTGAAGATGCAAATCTTGCGGAGATTTGACTGAAAAAAAAAAATCATTAGGGATTAAGCTAAAAGAGGATCAGAGGGACCTGGAGTTATATGTGCACAGATCACTGAAGATAGCAGGACAAGTGGAGAGAGCAGTTAATAAAGTACAGAGTGCCCTCAGCTTTATTAATAGGGCCATAGAGTACAAGAGCAGGGAGGTGATGTTGAACTTGTACAAGACACTTGTGAGACCCCAGTTGGACTACTGTATACAGTTGTGGGAGCCACGTTTCAGGAAGGATGTGAATGAATTGGAAAGAGTGCAGAAGCAGTTTACAAGGATAGCTCAAGGGATGAGAAACTTCAGTGATGAGGATAGATTGAAGAAGTTGGGACTGTTCTCCTAGACAGAAGAAGGCTGAAAGGGAGATCTGACAGAGGTTTTCAAAATCATGAGTGGGCTCAGCAAAGTAGAGAGGGAGAAGCTGTTCCCGTTTGTAAAAAGATCAAGAATGAGAGGGACGTAGATTTAAAGTGATGTGCAAGGGAAGCAGGGGTGATGTGAGAGAAAGCTGTTTCACCCGGCAAGTAATTAGGGTGTGAGTGCACTGCCTGGAAATATGGAGAAGGCAGGTTCAGCTGAGCCATTCAAGAGGGGCTTTGGATAATTATTTGGATTATAATAATAAGGGAAATGGGGAAAAGATAGGAGATTGGCCAAACATTATTACTCTCAGGTATGAGGGGCTATTGGTCTCCTCTTGCACCGTAGGAATTCGGTGCCAATAGTTTGAAATGGGGGGCCTGATTTCTCTGTCCGCAGAGGATTTTGGAGAAGGCCCTGTCTGCCAAGTGTGAAGTCCTGCCCCCTCCTGGTCGCAATGGAATTACAGTTGTATTCACAGCCTCCTCCATTGAACTGGCTTTCACAGAGCGAATTGGGGACAGTTAGCTCGGTCGGCTGGATACACGGTTTTGCAATGCAGAGTGGTGCCAACACTGTGGGTTCAATTCTTGCACTCAAACTTTCACCTGAAGCAATCGGTGACCCTCAGGGTTAAACTCGCTATCAATCATCGCTCTCCAATGATAACGGCGACTTACTTTTACTCTACTGAAGAGACTCAAAACCAAAGTCCTTATCCTAACCACAACATCTATATTTAAAGTAAATACAAAAGTTATGTTAGGAAATATTTTTGACAAGAATTTGTTTTTTTTTTACTGATTGTATAGTTCAGTGAAAACAAAGAAAATTGTAAGATCTCTGGCTCAAAACTGGTGTTAGATTTTTCACTATAGTCGAGACCCGGGAACATGGCAATATTGCGATCATCTGTTACTTGGGAGGTTTGATGGATAGATGTAAGAACCCGCCCACACTCCCTGCCACCTTCGCTCCTCATCCTCCTGTGACTGCGCAGCACTCAGTCAGTCCTGCCCTCGAGCATCAGTCTGGACTCTGGACTCAGAAAATCCGGAGCGGCGTTTGAATTCCCGAACTGCGAGGGACATTTCCCAATGAACCGTCGCTTGTTTGTTTTTTTAAGTGGCTGATTCCTTTCTTGTCACTTTATCGATATTCCAAGTTTGCAATTATCATTTGGACAGCTCCTTTCGCCTGGAACCCAACCAGGAATAATCAAGAGTCTACAGTTAACACCATTTACTATTTGAAATGAATTTGCCCTTGGAAATCAAGCGCTGGTTTGGTGAAGCAGTACATCCAAAATGCAGGACTTGTGACCGTGCAGCACTGAGGGACAGACAGCTTGTGTTTTAAGGCATGATTCCAGGATCCTGGGTGAGAGTGCCATCTGTGGAGCCACAGTTAACACAGAGACACGCTGGAAAGACAGTTAAGACAGTACCCGAGGGATTCCTTGATTTGGAAAACTGGATAAATCTCCAGGTCCAGAGGTGGTGTATCTCAGGCTGCTGTGGGAGGCAAGAAGCTCTGACATTGATTTTCAAACCCTCTCTCACTGCAGGATGCCAAAGGATTTTGTGGGGATGGGGGGGACATCTAATGTGCTGCCATTGTTCAAGAAAGGCAGTAGGGATAAACCCAGGAACTACAAGGCCAGTGGATCTAACAACTGTGGTGAGCAAATTACTCAAAACAAATGCTGTGGGATAGAATTAATCTCCACTTGAGGATAGTTAATGTGGCTTTGTAAGGGGAAGATCACATCCAACAAATCTGATTGAATTTTTCAAAGAGGTGACCTGGAAGGGAAATGCAGTGGATGTAGTCTACATGTAAGGTTTTGTTAAGGTGTCATGTGGATGACTAGTCAAAAACAGCTCACAGGAGCCAGGGCAGTTTGGCAAATTGGATCCAAAATTGGCTCAATGGCAGGAAACAGAGGGTGATGGTCAAAGAGTGTCTTTGTGACTGGAAACTTGTTGGCCAATGGTGTGCTGCACGATTAGGTGCTGGGTCCCTTGCTTTTGTTGTATACATTAACGACACACATGTAGAACGTACGATCAGCGAGTTGGCAGACGACGTAAAAATTGGTGGTGTGACAAATAACAAGGAGAAAAGGCTTCGATGCTAGGATGATATAGACTGTCTGAACAGTGGCAAACAGAATTTAATATGGTTATACGGTAAATGGAAAAGCCCTGGGGAAAATTGATGCATAGAGAGATCTGGGTGTTCAGGTCCATTGTACCATGAAGGTGGTAACGTAGGTCAATAGAGTGGTGAAGAAGGCATACAGCATGCTTTCATTCATCGGACGGGGTATTAAGTACAAGAGTTGGCAGGTCATGTTACAGTTGTATAGGACTTTGGTTCAACTACATTTGGAATACTGCATACAGTTCTGGTCGCCACATTACCAAAAGGATGTGGATGCTTTGGAGAGGGTGCAGAGGAGATTCACCAGGATGTTGCCTGGTATGGAGGGCGCTAGCTATGAAGAGAGGTTGAGTAGATTAGGATTATTTACATTAGAAAGACGGAGGTTGAGGGGGGACCTGATTGAGGTCTACACAATCATGAGAGGTATAGACAGGGTGGATAGCAAGAAGCTTTTTCCCAGAGTGGGGGACTCAATTACTAGGAGTCACGATTTCAAGGTGAGAGGGGAAAAGTTTAAGGGAGATATGCGTGGAAAGTTCTTTACGCAGAGGGTGGTGGGTGCCTGGAACGCGTTGCCAGCGGAGGTGGTAGAGGCAGGCACGATAGCGTCATTTAAGATGTATCTAGACAGATACATGAATGTGCAGGGATTAAAGGAATACAGATCCTTGGAAAATAGGCGAAAGGTTCAGATAGAGGATCTGGATCGGCGCAGGCTTGGAGGGCCGAAGGGCCTGTTCCTGTGTTGTAATTTTCTTTGTTCTTATAAGTGAGAGGTGATGCATGTTGGGAAAACTAACAAGGCAGTGGAGTAACACTTTGAATTGTGGGATCCTGGGAAATATAACAGCACAGGGACCAACGTCTGAAACAGTTCCAGCACAACCTCCCTGCTCTTGAAACTTAATGCTTTGGCTAATAAAGGCAAGTATCCCACAATCCTTCTTACCACTTTATCCACCTGTCCCGCTACCTTATGGCCCCAGTGTACATACATACCAAGGTCCCTCTGAGCCCTGGTACTTCCCATGGTCCTACCATTCATCATGTATTCCCTTCCCTTACGTATACTTAACAATCAAGCGTTTGGTGGGGTACAGAATTCCAAACATTTGCAACACTCGGAATGAGTTTTCCTTCAAAAAAACGAAAGAACTGCAGCTGCTGTAAATCAGAAACAAAAACAGAAGT